CATCCCGGGCGAGGCGGGGCCTGCGGCCGGGGTGGGGTAAACAGGCCCGGCCTGGAGGGCGCGCCGGCCACTGGAGGGCTCCGCCGGCGAAGGCTGCTCCTGGGCTCCTGGCGGCGGCCCCGAAGTTCACGCGCGTCCTGTCTTTGTCTCTGCAGCCGTGGGCTTGCGCTGTGTGTCTGTCTGGGGAGGGGGTCGCCGCGGGAGTCGGTCCTGGGCGCGTCTCTGCGTGGGCGCTTCTTGGGCTTCGCGGGTGCGGGCCCGGCGCTGGGAGCCTGCCGGCCGCGCCGCTGGTGTCTGCCCTGGGGTCGGGGTCGCCGCACTGGGCTGCCTGTCCCCATGCCTCAGGTGGTGTTGGGCGGGAACCTTGCTTTGCTGCCCTGAGGGTCTGAATCGTCCCAGGCCTGGGGGGCTGATCGGGCTTCAGTGGAGGCAGGAGCTGCTGCCCTCCAGGTGCCTCTTCTGCACTGGGGGCAGACCTTGAGGGGCCCAGGGTCCTGGGAGACCTCCCCTGCTTCCCAGAGGGGCACTGAGGCTCCAGGCCAGAAGGTCTTCAGGAACCCAGGGTCCCAAACGCACCCCCACCCCAGGGCTGAACTGGGGGACTGCTTATTCACTTCTGGCAGGGCATAGGAGAGGGCTTACTCTTAGCCCATTTCACAGATGAGAAAACAGGTACCAAGAAGTGACTGGAAGGTGGCACAGTGGGATGCCAACCTGGGCCTTGTGGTTCTGTGTGTGTGGTCTCCTCCCGGCCACCGCACCCCCGGACAGGAGACTGGAGTGTGGCTGACGGAGGAAAATGGAGGCTGCCTGCAGAGAACCTGGCTCTGGGCACTCAGGGTGGGGCCTCTGGAGGAAAGGGAGAGCAGCCTTTGTGCTGAGCGCTGGGGGTGGACAGGTGCCCAGGTGCCCTCCCAGGTGCTTATTAGCGTTATGGACTCTCCCAGATGCCGGGTGTGGTGCCAGCCACTCTCCAGCTGCCACTGTTCTGGGATCGCTTCCTGCACCCCGAGGCTGGAGTGGGCACTCTCTGCAGACTAGCCAGGCAGCACCCCGTCTTTCTAGGCTGGGGGCGGGGCAATGCGGGGAGGCCTCTGGAACCCAGAGCCTGGAACCAACTCGGTGCTTTAGGTCCCAGCCCCTGGCCTGCGCACTCTGGGTTCTAAGTATCTTGACCGGGGACTGCCTGACTCCCCAAGCACCCCAGCACGTGGATGGGGTCCAGACTGATCTGCTGGCCCAGGCTGAACGGCGAAGTAGCCCACTAGCCCCGCGCTCTGATGCTGCCGTCTGTTGACCCAGGTAGTACGGGATGGGGCCCTGGATGGGAGTCAGCCTGCCTGCTGCCTGCTTCGAGGGCTGCAGGAACTTCCGGCCTACAGCTGGGAGGCTGGGAGTGTCAGGTTACCGAGGAAACCAAGGCAGGCCAGCCAAGGTCTGGAGAAGGACAGAGCCAGCACTCCCTGATCCCCCACATACCTTGGGCCCCAGGGGCCCTCCTGCAGTGCGGGCCAAGGGCTATGCTGAGAGGAATAGTCCTGGGCCTCCAGAGACACCCCAGCCCAGCCTCCCCAACCAGGACTGACAGTCCTGCTGGGTGTCTTCCTAGGTTCTCTGGCTCTGCCGCCCTGTAACTGGGGCCAGTGTTCCAGCCTCAGGGCATTCCCTAGCTTGAAGGCAGCTCTCCTTCTGTATCCCAGAAGGGAAACTGAGGCATAGAGGGCTACTATTTTCCATCTCCCAGCATCGGGATGAGAACCATTGGCCATCTATACAGGACACCACAGTTTGGGCCCAAAGTCAGGGACCGGGCCAGGGCCAAAGCCCCAGGGACTCCCCAGTCCCCAGCAGCATGACTGCGGGAGTGATCCTGGCCTGGCTTTTGTATCTCAACCAAGTGAGACGTGCCGACCCCATCCTTCTCTGTGCTCCAGAGACAAGCCAGCGATCAGACACAGCGAGGAGCGCTTGTCTTCCCTTGTTCTATGCCACCTTCCAGCTCTGCTGTAGGGTGTGGGATGACAGGATGGGACTTGCAGGGCGGCCCCGAGGTGGTGGGAAAGCTGGGTGGACAGCGTCTTCGGCCCCCCCGGAGGCAGAGAGAGACCCGGGCCCCGCCTTCTAGGGCTCCCAGCCTGGATGGAGGGCACGTTGAGACTGGAGGCAGGACCTACAGGGCTGCCTGGCCCTGGACAGGACCGCTTCCGCACAGGGCTGGCTCAGGCCCGGAGAGTGGACTCTCGGGAGTGGGTGGGGCAGGGGAGTTCCGGTAAGTGTGGGGACTGCTTGTCTTCCTGGTCCTGGTCTCTGGCTGTTGGGAGGAAGGGCCGGCCCAGAACAATGGCCGGAGCCAGGCCAGACTGGGTCAGCTCTGGGGGGAGGGGCTGCCAGGCAGGACAGCCTCTGCCAGGGCTGGGCCAAGCAGGGCGGTGATCTGGCTCTGCCTTTTGCTTCCTTCCTAGATGCAGCTGCCTGTCCTGGGAGCCTGGACTGCGCCCTGAAGAGGCGGGCGCGGTGCCCCCCCGGCGCACATGTCTGTGGGCCCTGCCTTCAGCCCTTCCAGGAAGACCCGCAGGGACACTGTGTGCCCAGGACGCACCGGCTTGTGGGTATGGGAGAGAAGGATGTACTTCCCCCTCCCCTGCCCTGATTCGGTTGTCACTCAGCCTCAGACCCTGGGTCTCCTGAATTTTGTTGGTGTGTGGAGCCTTTATGCCTTTTTTTTTTATGCCTCCGAGGGGCCCAGTGATCTTTCCAGATAGCACAAGCCCAGAGCCTGGCAGTGGGCTGAGGCGTGGGGCAGTTAGCCCCTGTCAGGGCAAGGGGTGTCTGGCATGAAATGCTGGGGTGATCGCAGGAGAGGAAGAATCAGAGTTCCCCACCCACCCACCCCCGCCCCGGGCTACCCTGGCCCCCTGCCCCATGTGCACTCCTTCTCCATGGCTTCCTCACACTGTGCAATCTGTGGGCCTCCCCTGCCAGCCTGAGCCCAGAAGGTCTGCACGGCCAGCTGCTCAGTGAGTTCAGGTGGGATGGGGCATTACAGAAAGAAGTCGGCTGGGGCAGGAGGACCTTCCCAGAGGAGGAACCTTTCCTGGCAGTGAGGTGGGCTGGGGAAGGAGACCGTACGGGCCTGCTTCAGAAGGCGGCAGGCGCTCTGCTCTTTCCCTGCTGTGTAGAGTGTGTCCTTGGAGCCTCTGTCTGGACTGTGGGGGCTGTGGCTGGGACCGAGTTGGCGGGGGGCAGCCACCAGCCCCATCCCGATATCTGCCCTCAGTTCCTACCCATTAACTAGTGGGGGTGGGGACAGAATGAGGCCTCTTCCCTCTACTTAAGGAGTCGATGCCTGTCTTGGTAGAGAAGGGGTGGGGTGATGCGTGGGTAACAAGCAGGGTGAGGGCACCCCTTCTCTTCTCCTTCTGGCCTCGGTGCATTCCCCTGACACCTCCGCTCCCTTGCTCCGGCCCCCACTTGCCTGGGAAAGCTGCTGTGCACATGGGCTGCCTTCAGCGGTCACCAAGGCAACTCGGGATGGCTGGGATTGCAGGCTGGTACCTAGTCCTCTGGCCACCACCCGTGCCTGGGAGGAACCTGGAGGGAGGAGGAGGTCTGGGCCAGAGGTCTGGCTCCTGGATGGACCCCAGCTCCTCTGGAGGGCTGCCCACAGCTGGGGTGGCTGGGGTGGGGCTGGGGGCCTCTCCACCTGCCTGATGGGCCCTCACCGTCTCCAGGGGAGAGCCTGCCCAGGCCCAGACTGGAAGATGAGATTGACTTCCTGGCTCACGAGCTGGCCCGGCAGGAGCCATGGCACTCCATGCCCACCGCGCAGCCCCAGCCTGAAGCTGGACAGCGGCCGCTGGAGCCGGGTGAGATCCAGCCCATTCCCACCCCTACCCCGCCCCACCCGGCGGGGGCCTGACCCCTGGCCAGTCCTAGTGTTCTAACCTGCCTCCTCTCTGCAGCGGCCACCCTGGGGCTCTCAGAGCGCCGCCAGGGCCCCGACCTGGGCCCCCCCTCCACTCGAGGAGCCCCCGCACCCACGCCCCACACCTCCTTGGGCTCCCCTGCATCCTCTGTGCCCGTGCACGTGGCCCCCTTGGAGCCCCGGGGAGGCCGCGGTGACGGACTCGGCCTCGGTAGGTCTGGAGGTCCGTAGGTCTCTGGGTGGGCAGGGGGCAGGGCCCTGCCCGGAAGGCCGCCCTCACCGCGCCCCCTCCCCGCAGTGCTCGTGGTGGCGTGCTCGGTAGCCGGCGCGGCCGCCCTGGCCCTGGCCGCCCTGTGCTGGTGCAGGTGAGCGCGGGGCGCGCCCGGCCGTGGGCGGCGGCGGGCGGTGGCGGGCGGTGGCGGGCGGCGGCGGGCGGCGGCGGGCGGCGGCGGGCGGCCGCTCCGCGGGTCTCAGGCTCCGCTCCCCGCAGGCTGCAGCGAGACGTCCGCCTGACCCAGAAGGCCGACTACGCGGCCCCGCAGGCGCCCGGCTCCCCTGCAGCGCCCGGGATCTCGGTGCGTGGCCCCGCCCCGGCCCCGCCCCTCCGGCCCCCGGCTCTGCGTCCTGACCCCTGCCGCCCTCTCCCCGCGCAGCCGGGCGACCAGAGGCTCGCGCAGAGCGCCGAGATGTACCACTACCAGCACCAGAGGCAGCAGATGCGGTGCCTGGAGCGGTAAGAGGCCCCCACCCCGTCCCCCCGCCACCCGGGCCCCCACCTGCGCCGCCCCGGCTCCGGCTGAGGGGCGCTGAGCCCCCCGGGGAAGTCTGGGCCCCTGGCGCCCGGAGGGTGTGGGAGGCCCTAGCGATCCCGCCCCCTACCCAGGCATAAAGAGCCGCCCCAGGAGCTGGAGTCCTTGTCCTCAGAGGAGGAGAACGAAGACGGTGACTTCACGGTTTATGAGTGCCCGGGCCTGGCCCCGGTGAGTCCCACGGCAGAAGCCCCCCGGGCGGGGCCGGGCCGGGTGGCGGGGCGGGGGCGGGGGCGGCGGTGGGGACCAGCAGGGTGGGGGCTCCCCCGTGCGCCCCATGCCCCGCCTGCCTGACCCCGGCCTCCACAGACCGGAGAGATGGAGGTCCGGAACCCGCTGTTTGATCACTCCTCGCTGTCTGCGCCCCTGCCGCAGTGACCTGAAGGCTGCCTCTCCCTTCTCCCGGACTGCAGGGCCCAGGGGTGGGGAGGGGCAGGACGCACCGGTTCCCGTTAAAGAGATCTTGTTCTCGCAGTGGGTGTGCTTGTGGCTGGGCCAGGGCACGAGGGGGGCGGGGGCGGGAACCCCTTACCCAGGAGACTCAGCCCCCTTCTGCCAGGACCTTCTCTTTCTTCTTGCACTTGTCCTGTTGAGTCCGAACCCCCAAATGAGGGGACAGGGAGAACCATGAGACCAGGCATGGATGAGGAATCCTGGCAACAATTAAAATACATTTCAAACCCGTCATCTTGGTGTGCTGGAGACTGATCTCCATCCCACCCTTTAGGGCCACGGTGGATGGAGGCTGGAGTGGAGGCCTGGGGCTTCCTCCTGCCCTCCCAGAGATGGCGGGTGCATCTCCGCACTCCTGCTTCTGCTTGGAAAGGCGGTCTCACCCCCTGCTGGGGAAGAGAGGCTTTGTTTTTCTACCAACACAAGATCCCTCCTACCCTCTTTCTCCTGTAGGCCTCACCCCTACCGAAACTTCTGTCTCAAGTAGGGGACGAGCGCGGTCTGGGCGGGGGGGGTGGGTGGGGGGGGTGTCTAGAGTTGGTACCACTCCCTGAAAGGTCCCATTCCACGTATGCTGAAAAGAGGAGGGGTGTGAGGGCGGTGGGCACCCAACCTCCATTTCCACTACTGGGCGTCTGGGCCGGAAGGCGGGACAGAACATGATGCAGCCCTGAGCATGCGCTTGTGATGGGAGCCACGAGGCCCTGGGGCCCCTGCAGCCCATGTGGGGCAGGGGCTTCCGAGGGGCACAGGCTCCTCACAGGGCGATAGGGCAGGGCGGGCTGGGCCAGGAGAGAAGGGCAACAGGGACCCTGAATGTCAGGAGGGGGTCGTGGCCCACCCCAGCCACCCACCCAGGAGCAAGGAGGTCTGTGGAAGGGCAGAGTGACCTTCAGAGGGGGGGCTGCCCTGTGCGACCAGTGGTACAGAGGCTGAGTGGGGAGAGGAGTTTCTGGGGCCCAGGGAGCAGCTGGGTCTCCTGCAGACAACTGCGGGGATGGGACCTGTCTATCCCCCGATGGTGGTGGGGGGATTGGATGTAGAAGCCCTTGGTGGTGTCTTGGGGGGGCGGTCCTGAGAGGGAAAACAAGGTCCATTTGGGGCAGATAGTCCCTGAGGAGAGACGGGTAGGCTGGGCTGGGGGAAATGGGTTTGCCCCTGCTTGGAGCGAATGGCTTGTCCTGAGAGTACCAGGGCCCGTCCAGACTGGGAAGTCCCTCCCCTCCACCCCAACTCCTGGGCTGTGGCCTTGGGCTGGCCCTCAGCTGGGAACCTGCTTTCCCTTTTGTGCCAGAGATGACAGGAGTCTGTGTGGGGCGAGGACAGGCTGGCAAGGATCACCTGTCCATGGTCACTTAGTCTGTGCCACTAGGGAAGGTAGCCACAGAGAAAATGGGGCATGGGACAGTCCCGGCTTCACTCCAGAAGGCCCAGGCCGTCCGGCTTGTCAACTGTCGGCCACATGCCCAGGCCAGGAGATTCCCCTTGATATCTGGGGTCGGGCCTGGTGTCTTTCACACCTCCCGTGGGCCTGACCTGGGTAGAGAGCAGGCACCCCGCCTTCTCTAGCTTCTCAGAGGTTCCAACCTGTCTCAGGGCCCCAGGCAGGAGGCCCCCTCCCCTTTTGGAGCAGCTGCAGTGAGACAGGATGGGAATGTTTGGGCCCAGGAAGGGAGGGCAGGGGCTGGTCCCCTCCAGGCCGTGGGGTCTCCCTCAGCCAGCTTACCTGGCACAGGGTGCTATGCCACTCAGCAGCCCACTCCCCCCATGCTTCCTCTGGCTTCCGTCAACCTCAGGCTAGCTCAGAGCCAAGCTCTGCTTTTGTCTAAACTTCCACAACCACACTTTCTCCCATAGGCCCCGGAGAGCAGTGGGCTGCCCTGAGGTGGGGCCTAGGTCCAGGAAAGCCCTATCTCCACAGGGACTCTGGAGACCCCAATCCTGGGCAAGGGGCCCGTTACCTTTCTCCGCACCACCTGTAGCCTCAGTGCCCCCTGCTGCCACTCCGGCCTTCCCAAGGCCCTACCAAGAGCAACCTTCTTGGTGCGAAAGGCTGATCTCATCTCTGCCCTCAGAGCTCACCGTGCTTCGGCCACTTGGCCAAACTTAACTGGCTTGACACCCTGTCTGAGCATGGAGGACAAAGGGTGACATTCCCACAGCCAGCACAGACCCTGAGATGACACTCCTCTGCTTGGAGATGCCCCCACACCTGCAAGACCCTAGGGGTCAGAGCACACTGGGCACAGAATGTGGGGTGCCGGGGCCCCCGAGCCATGCCCCACGAGGCGGGAACCTCTCTGTCTGGAGACTCTAGGACGTGACGCGCTTCTTCTGCAGGTCAGACTCACTGTCCCATCTGCTGGGGTAGCTGGCCGGGCTGGTCCTGTGTTCCCAGTCCCCCGGCGACACCCCCACGCCAGGTGCGCTGCCCACCAGGGCACGTGTGGTGCAGAAAGAACCGAGCCAAGCTCAGGTTCAGGGCACAGAGATCCTGCAGCGGCTCCTGCATAAGGAGAGGGATGTGGCCGCGGCCCAGGCAGGAAGGGAAGGAAGGAGAAGGAGAGCAGGTGCGACACCCATGCGCCCAGCGGCTCCAGACAGGAGAGCCGCCTCTCCCAGCGCCCGCTGCAGCTGGCTCCCACACAGCCCTCGTGCTACACCCCTGGCCTGGGAGCCCCTCTATGCACCCCCCTTCCGAAGGCGTTCCCCAACCCTCGGTTCATCTTGTCCTCCACCGTAAAGTGTGCGCTCCCTCTGCTGGGGACAGATGGCTCAGAGCTCGGCCGCCGGGGGTAGAGCTCACGGGTAGAGCATTTGACTGCAGAGCTCGACCGCCAGGGGGCCATCTGGGCACACGGATGGCCTTCGCCTTGCTCAAGCTCAGCCTTGGGGCGGGCAGGTGCTCTGTCCCTGAGGCACCCCCAGGCTGGGGCTAAAGCCAGGTCTGCCCTGCATTGCCGTAGGTGCTGTTGCCTGCAAGCGGGAGGCAGTCACAGGCCAGTGGCCTGGCCTCCTCCAGTTTGCAGTTTCTTCTGCAAGAAGAAGGCCGGCCCCGCGGTGGGACCAGGGCTGGGGCTACGGGAGGGACAGTGCGCCCCTGACTCCCAGAAGCTCATGGGCTGTGGTGCTGGAGTGAGGTGCCCACCTGGGTCCCAGTGAGTCACAGGGCCTGGGGCAAGGCGAGAGGATGAGGCCCCCACTTTCCCTTTGACTCGTGCGGTCTCTCCTTCATCACTTTGCTCAAGAGCTCTCTCACTCTGACCTGTTTCTGGACCAAATCTCGGGGCCCCATTTCCCAGCCAGCACGTTCCCACGGCAGGGGCCCCGTGGTTGCCAACCCGAGCTGGCAGGGGTGTGGCGGGGCGGGGGGGCAGCAGACGCCGGGCAGAGTGGAAGGCTTGCTTGGCTTCCCACCCAGGAAGGGAGCAGTCTGTGGGTACGGGTGAGGCCTGTGGCAGGGGCCCCGGCCAGCCTGGCCGTGCAAACAGGAAGGGCAGGGGCGCTGGCAGCCAGAGGCGGGATCGGCTCCTCCTCGCACACCTCACCAACTGCAGGGTGCCCGCCCCACAGAAAGATGGGCTGGAGTATGGCCGGAAGCCAGGGCGTGGCTCCTCTGCGGTCCCCCTGCCAGGGCAGAGAGGCTGGGGTGCGGCCGAAGGCCCAGGGCCCCCGTGGTCATCTCCCTAGTCGTCAAGCAGCTGAAAGGACAAAGACCAGCCACAGCTGCCAGCTCTCCTCGAGCCCCAGTGCCCACCCCAGGCAGTCAGGCCTGGCAGCCGCCTGTGCACCACAGACCACCAGACGGTTTCCGCCAGATCCTACCGCCTCCCCTCCCTCCCGGGGGATTGCGCAAAGCCCCACCACACGGCAGCTCAGAGGTTTTGCCGGGTCTGTGGAGCCTCAGAGATGCCCACGGCCCCCTCTCCTGCGCTCGCCCATCTCCTCTGTGGGTGCAACGCCAGCTCCCCACCCCCACCCCGATACCAGTCTGGTCCTCACCAACAGGCAGGAGCTGGAGGAGGCCAGCAACCCCAGGCACCCACGAGGGAAGCGGGAGGGGGACCGCGGAGTGGCAGAAAGCCCCCAGGATGGCGAGGGGCAGCTGACCCAGGCCGTGGTTCCTGTTCGCGCCTCCTTCCGTGACCCCCATCCCATGGACCTCAAGAACGTGAGCTGCCTGAGGCCTCCGGATGCAGAACCTGAGAGCCAGTCCTTGTCCTGCCACATCCAGGACCAAGAGGGGTCCAGCAGCAGTGGGGCGAGGAAACCGGTGGGGTACCAGCTTGGCTGAGTGGGGAGCAGGTCAGAGCTCAAGGGAAGTCGGATCATGCTGACTTGCTCTCTCTCCAGCTCAGAGGAACTGGAGCAGAAGGGGAAGGAACTTGACCTCCAGGCCTGGGCCCCCAGGGCTGGTCCGAGGGTAGGGGTGGGGAAAGGAGAAAGCCTCTGGACTCCTGCCCTCTTTTTCCTGCACCAGGAGCCAGCCCCTACCTGCCAGCGTCAGGGACACAGTGACTCCTTCCCTTTCCAGTCTGGAAAGCCCCCTCTCTGTCCCCACCCCCATCCTGGGCTGCGGGGCCTGGAGGAGGAGGCCTGGAGTCCCCAAGGGCAGGCCCCTGTCCGCATCCCCACTCGGCAGTGTCAGCAGCTCGTTCCAGGCGGCTGGGACCATGGGACTTCTGTGGACACGTGTCCTTGGGTGAGGAAAGAAAGCACAGTGGTCAGTGGTCCTGCAGGCCCCCCCCTGCCGGGGGCCAGGCCCAGCCTGGTGTCTGCCCCGCGTGGGCCTGTGCTGTGGCCTCATGGGGTCTGACACTCCCGGGACCCGGGGACAGAGACCCGCCCCCCGGAATCTGGGCTCTAGGATGAGGTGTCCTGGAGGTGAGGTGGGGTGAGGTGGGGGTGGGGTAGCCCCCTTGGAACCCAGGGCAGAAACCTCAGCCTCTTGGCAGAGAGCCAAGCACAGCACATCTGCAGCCCGAGGGTCTGGGAGCGGCTCGGGCTGGCGCTGAGCGGGAAGTGGGTGATGCCAGCACGGGGAGGGGGGGGGGCGCTGCCGAGGGTCAGGGTGGTGGGCTTGGCGGGGTCCTTGTGTCAGGGGCCGCCTCCACCTGCGATGGCATCACCCCATCGTGCCTGCCCGGCGGGTCATCCTCAGGCCTCCCAGAGCCCGGCAGGAGTGGGAGGCCTGATCTTGGGCCCTGAGAATGCCCCTCCTCCCCCCAGCAGCCAGAGGATCAGAGTGGGAGGGGTGTGAGGAGGGGGGTTGATGCCAAGGTCCCCTGGGGCGGGGGCAGGGGCGGGGCGGGGGCAGGAAGATAGCCTGCTGTCTCTGTCCCAGCAGATGAAAGGGCCTCCCTCCATTCGGGCTGCGCAGGGGTGCGGCTGTGATTGTAGGGCGTCTCTGCCCAGTGGCTGCTGTGATTTGAGATCCCTGGGTGTCCTGGGTGGTTGACTCTAGGCGCTGCGGATGGGGACGGCCGGTGAGTGTCTGGTCTTCGGGGAGCTGTGGGCTGGGGGGACGGGGCCCACGGGCAACCCTGGGAAGACAGTGTCTCTTCCTGTGTCCCGTGTAGGGTGCAGCCTCTCCCAGAGGCTTCGGGCCTTGGGGGCCTTGGCTGGAGCCGCCCTCCTCTTCACCCTGTGGCTCCTGTGGCAACTTGGGCTGGCCCCCGCGAGGGTCCCCGCGCCCCCGCGAACGCTCCTCATCCTTGTCTGGCACTGGCCCTTCGCCGACCAGCCCCCCGAACTACCCAGCAACACCTGCACCCGCTACGGCGTGGCCCACTGCCACCTGAGCACCAACCACAGCCTGCTGGCCAGCGCGGATGCCGTGGTCTTCCACCACCGCGAGCTGCAGACCCGGAGGGCCCACCTGCCCCTGGCCAGCCGGCCGCGGGGGCAGCCCTGGGTGTGGGCCTCCATGGAGTCGCCCAGCCACACCCACGGCCTCGGTCGCCTCGGCGGGATCTTTAACTGGGTGCTAAGCTACCGGCGAGACTCCGATATCTTCGTGCCCTATGGCCGGCTGGAGCCCCACGAGGGCCCCGCGCCGCCCCTGCCGGCCAAGAAGGGGGTGGCGGCCTGGGTGGTCAGCAACTTCCAGGCGCGGCAGCAGCGTGTGCAGCTGTACCGGCGGCTGGCGCCCCACCTGCGCGTGGACGTGTTCGGCCGCGCCAACGGGAAGCCGCTGTGCGCCAGCTGCCTGCTGCCCGCCGTGGCCCGGTACCTCTTCTATCTGTCTTTCGAGAACTCACAGCACCGAGACTACATCACCGAGAAGTTCTGGCGCAACGCACTGGCAGCCGGGACGGTTCCCGTGGTGCTGGGGCCCCCGAGGGCCAACTACGAAGCCTTTGCACCGGCTGATGCCTTCGTGCACGTGGACGACTTTGGCTCGGCCCAGGAGCTGGCCTCCTTCCTGGCTGGCATGAACTCTAGCGGCTACCGGCGCTACCTGGCCTGGCGAGACCGGCTCCGAGTGCGGCTGTTTGAGGACTGGAGCGAGCGCTTCTGTGCCGTCTGCGCCCAATACCCCCACTTGCCTCGAGGCCAGGTGTACTGGGACCTCAAGGCCTGGTTCCAGGCTTGAGCTCTGGCCCCACGAGGAGGGTGGCTGGGCACCGGTGGTGGAGGTGGAAGGGCTGGGTGTTGAAATCAAACCACTGGGCATCCGGCCCCCACAGGCCATCAGGATAGTGCAGAGGCTGGGTTAGAAACTGGAAAGCAGAGGTCAGGTGGGAGTGGGCTGGTCTGGGCAGACTGCCTAGAAAAGGAGGCTGGCGGGCACTGGAGCAGGCCTTGGGGGGTGAAGGTGAGAGTGGGAGAGAGTTAGTGGAGGTGCATGTGGCGAGTTGATCTAAGATACAGGCTCCCAAGGACCTCCGAGGACTTCCCTCCCCACCTTGATAAAACCCCAGTGGGATCGTCTGTCCCAGACACCAGCTGGGAGAGGCCAGGGGTTGGGCCCTCCTGCAGTCTGGAGGGGAAAACTCTGAGCCCCCAAACCTCCTCTGTCACCGAGGTCCCTTGGCTTGGGCCATGCAGGTACATTACCCACACCCTGCACTGTGCTGGAGCTGGGCCTGGGGACGCCAGGACAAGCCAGACTGCCTGCATCTCCGGGAGGGACAGCGATCAGTAAAGAAAGGGAGGACAAGAATGGCGCGTGCTGAGTCTTGTCATGTGTACCCTCCCCCGCAGCTTCACCACCCCACCCCACCCCCGCCACACAGGCCTCCCTGTCCTGATAGGGTCCCTCCCCCACACCACTCTGCCTGTGCCTGCCAGCTTCCTTCACTCCCTGCTAACTGACTGGCACGGCACCAGGGAGCTTTCCCTGACCCCCCAAAGGCCAAGGTGGGTGGAGAGTAGGGGGGTGCTGAGGTCTGAAACCTGGACGGGGACCGGGGGGTCAAAGGAGCCTGGTCCTGAAGGCCCTGGGATTTCATTTTCCAGCTGCAGGGGTGTCTGGGGAGTGGCAGGATCTGGCTCACTCTGCTAGGTGGTGGGCAGCACACAGGGGCAGCACGGGGCACTGAGTACTCTGCGGCAGCCAGGGGAACCCCTGTGGCAGGCTGCCTGTGGGGGCGGGGAAGAGAAGCTGGAACTGCAGATAGGGGCCCCAACAGGCTGCTCCCCTGGGGCAGAGGTCAGGATTTGTTCCTGCCCCAAATGGGGGTGGGTGGCAGGTGCAGGCAGGAAGCTGCCCTCCCCGTTGACAGTGGTTTGTGGGAAGGGCCTGCCAGTCATTTCCTGGCCTGACCTAGCCCCACATGCTGACCAGGGATAAGGACGGGGGATTGGGCCCCCTCTGCCCTGCCCCATTGTAAAGAAGTAGCTGGGGAGGGGCATGTAGCTGTGGTCCCCCAAAGCCTGCCATCAGCTTAGGGGAGGCCTCTATGTGCATCCCGGATGTGCACCCCTGACCCTGGACACCCCGTGGCCTGCCCCTCCCGTTGGCAAGTGGGGAAACTGAGATTGGGGAGGGAGGAGGCGTCAGGGCTCGGGCAGGGTTCCCTGCTGCCCTCTGCTGGCCACCCTACGCCACTGCAGCCCCTGCGCCGTCCGCTCCTCTCCGAGTCCCACCTGCGGCCGCGGGGCTGGCTCTCGGGTTTGGCCAAGAAAGGAGCCCCTCGCCGAGGGCGCGGCCTCACTCTCCTCAAGCATCCTGGGCGCCCCGTCCGCAGGGAACCGGTCCCCGGGCCAGAGTCCGGCCAGGCCCATCCCGCCATTTGCTCACCGAGGGGTTCATTCCCAAGGGACCCAGGGATTCCCGCAGCGACGGGACAGCCCCCTGCACCCCCTCACAAGCGCCCACCCCTGCCTTAAGCGGCCTGGGTCAGGAAGCCGCTGGCGGGGCCGGAGCGCTGCTGCTTGAAGGCTGGACAGCAGACACTGGCCGGCGCGCACAGGTGGGATCTCCCGCCAGCGCGGAGCTGTCCCCTCCCACCGCGGGGCGGCTACCCCCTTCCAGCCTGGCGGTGACCCGGGCACCGGGACCTGGCTCTGACGTCCAGGCGACATTCCCCCCCCCACCCCCCCTGCGGGGGGGGGGGGGGGGGGCGCACTGCCGCCCCCAGCATCCCCTCAGGGCGCCCTGGGGCCCGTGGCCACCTTGGGGCGCCTCTGCAGATTCCAGCGGGGGTTCGGCGTGCCGGACAGACGCCCCCGGGAGAAGAGCGCGCCGGCGGCGGGGGTGGGGCTCGGGGGCTTAGACGCGAGCTCGGGGACCTGGCGAGATGGGGGCGGTCAACGAGGCCGGCCGCCGGCGCGCGGGGCGGAGCTCCGGGACCGGCCCCGCAGGGCGGCGGGCTCGGGACGCGGCGGGCCGCGCGCGGCTCCTTTAAGCGGGGGCGGTGCGGGCGGGGGCCGGGCGCGAGCGGCGGTCGGCGCGGCGGCCGGGGCGGAGCCAGCGTGGAGCCGGTCCCCGACGCCCCAGGCCCCGCCTCGCGCGGGCGATGCCGAGCGGCGCGGCGGGCGGCGGGGCCGGCGGGGCGCGCAGAGGAGCGGGCCGCGGCGCGAGGGCGGCCGGAGCGCGGCCCCGCCATGGGCTTCCTGCACCAGCTGCAGCTGCTGCTCTGGAAGAACGTGACGCTGAAGCGCCGGAGCCCGGTGAGCCGCCCCGCGCGCCTCCGGGCCTGCCCCGAGCCGGAGGGCGCGCGCACGGGGGCCCGGCGGCGCGCTTTCCGCGCGCACGTGCGGCCGGGCGGGGCGCGCGCAGACCCCGGGAGGGCCCCCGGGGCGGCGGGCCCCAGCTCCTCTCCCTGCCGGGACCCCGCGCGCCCTTGCGGGCTCCGGCCTCCGGGAAGGGGACTCGGCAGTGCCCAGCCCGCCGCCCGCGGCCGCTGACATTCGCGGTGCGCGGCTGAGTCACGGGATGGGCGCCCCGCGCGGTGCGCTCTTCGGGGCGAGCGGTTCGGGTCGGGGGCGAGCGGCCCCAGGACGCTGGGGTCGCGGGAGGCCCTCATTCCTGGGACGGAGGGCTGGACTGGGAGACTCTCTCCAGCCCAGAAGGTCTTTAGTTTCTGGGCCCAGCTTCCTCTGGAGCCCCTGCAGGGACCCTGCCCTTTCCCTCGCTGCACCTCCACCTCCCTGCCCTTGGACAGACACCTCTCCTCCTCCCCCCTGCCCTTCCCCCAAGTCCGCTAGCCCTTGCTCCTGCTCTCTCACGAACGGCAGTGTCCTTGCTGTGCCAGCACCGGCCAGTCTGCATCCCTGCACCCTTTTGTCCTCTGGGGCACTCCTCCCTGAGGCTGATCCACCCTCCCATCTCCCCAACCCCAGCCCCCTCTGGGGCCTGGTCCTGCTGATTGGAGCTGGGACCCCCAAGCACCCCAGCCCCCTGCCCTGTGTCTGGGGCAGCCAGGGTTCTGAGCGCACAGGACGCAGCAGCTGTCAGGGACAGAAGTCCTGGTGAGCAGCCAGCCTCAGGCCGTAGGGATGCCATCATGCTGGCCCTCACTCAGCACCCCTGCCCTTCGAAAGGCAGGGGCCCCTCCTGTTGTGCCGCCTAGCCCACAGCAGCACAGGCACCAGAGAGGCCCGGGCCGCTCGTTTTTTGAATGGGCCCTGGGGATTTTCCACAAGGAGCCCAGAGCAGGCTGGGGTCCAGAATGGGGGGCTTGAGGACAAAGCAGCCTCTCATCCTCACCCTCTCCCACCTGACTTGGAGTCTCCTGGGGCTGATGAGCTCCCACCAGGGACCCTCCTTGAGAAGGGCTTTGAAGTGCATATTACGAACCCTGGGACCACAGACAGGGCAGGGTGGCCATCATCAGCACGGCCTGGCAGGGGTCCCCTGGGCACCTGAGCCTGGCGGGGAACCAGGGCTGACTACACTCCCTGCTCACCTGCCCACGTGCGTGGGGCTGGCTGGGCCTGGGTCCCGTGGATCAGGCCTGCAGCCTCTGGTGCAGCTGTCCCTGCTTCAGATTTTGGGTTACTGGGGACAGCAGGGCAGGGCTCGGAGGAGAAAGGGGAGTGGTATGTGGGCATGCATTAGCCCCAGGGTTCTTGGCAGTAAGGGCACCCCAAGGGCTGGAGGCAGAGGCTGGAATGATGGCCCCTGTAGCCACTGGGGATCTCAAGGCTCAGGGAAGGGAGCAGTGGCCTGTGGGGGACTGGCAAGCAGGTGGGAGGTGTCCACGGCCCTCCAGCCAGGAGTGGCCCCCACTTGCTAGGTCAGGCCTTCCCTAGAATCTTCCTCTGCCCCTGCCCAGGAGCACTACCAGGGGCTAGTCAGGACACATGGAGGTCCTTAGCCTGAGGCCACAGCAAATCAAAAATTTTTCTTCCAGGGGGGCTAAGGCCTTGCTGGGCTTGTGCAGGGGGCTTGGGTGGGCCAGGTATCTGGCACACGCCTGTTGGCCCCCCACTTCCTGGGGGGGTCTGGGGCTTTAGGGTCAGACCTGCGGGCTCAGCGAGCAGAGGTTTGCTCTTATGCTGTGGCTTCTCTGGAGGATGGGTGCATTCCTGGAAAGCTTGGTTTGAAGGGTAGGAACCAAAGGCCTCTGTCCTGGGGCTTCTCCGTCTGGGGGTGTCGCCTGTCCCCTCTTAGCCGGGCTGCCACGGCCTCACCACTGGGCAGAGTTAGGCCGTTCCATCTTCAGCTCTCCTCGGTTCTCCCCTTGACACAGCCGGAGGTGGCTCAGGCCCAGAGGGGGCACCTAGGCCCGGGAACAGCATGGGGGCCCCAGGCTCATCTCAAGGGACCGGGGTTTGACTCCCTTGTGGGCCTGGTGGCACGCTCTAGTGGGGCTCCCAGGTGAGGCTGAACCTGTGCCCACTGTAACCAGATGCCCCTCTGGCCGCCTGCCCAGCAGGCCTCCCTCCTCCCAGCAGCTCCTGCGGCCGTTGCTATAGCAACAAGGAGGTAGCCCTGGCCTGTTGCTGCAGTTACACCGTGGAGGTGCCCAGTGGTAGGGCGGGCGTGGGTGGGGCTGGTACCTTGGCCGTGACCCTGGCTACCTGTGATGCATGCAGCCACCCTGGCCCAGGTGCCTGTCCCCAGCCCTGCGGGTGCCCATGTTGCCTCCTTGGCTAGCCCTGGCCTGGCTTCTGGCTCGGGGAGGGGGTGGAGGCTGGCACGGACTGGGGCGGGTGTGGGGTGCGGACCACAGTGGGGTGTTCCAGACCACAGAGCACTATTGTCAGAGCGGGTAAACAACCGCGGGAGCCTGGGCCCCGGGCCAGACGGCATGCCACCGGGGTGGGGGCCATGGAGTCTGTTTTGCGGTGGGGGTGAGGATGAAGGAAACCTGGTCCTCTGAGAAGCGCTGGTGGGGTGAGGGTCAAGATGCATCTTGGGACTGAGCGGGGCACAGGCTCCCCCACAGAGCAGTGGGCCCGAGGTCCTCTTTCCACCTTCCCTTCCTGAGCTAGGAGAGGGGACAGGGTCATAGACAGAGAAGTCCTTCCATTTTCCAGGCAAGACACAGGGAAGCTGGGGCCTGGGGGCCTCTGACGTTCCTTTCCTACCCCAGCAGGCTCTGCCAGCGCTCTCCTTGGTGCCCAGCCGAGGGTGCCAGGAGCAGTCCCGGGAATAGAGGAGAGTTCTGGGGAGCACAGGCAGGGCTGTTGAGCCCATTGGAGCCACGTGGGGTGAGGGAGAGGGGCCAGGCCAGAAGAAGGAACTTGGGGCTGTCATACTTTTGCGCAGGTTTTCCTGGAGGCTCAGAGGCCTGGGCCCGAGCCATGCCTCCGGTTATCCAGGCCTTGTCTTGTGGGGTGTGATGGCGCTGTCACAGTGAGGCGGGCTGGCCCTGCGGGAGTGTGGGAGCTGTAGCTGGCACCCAAGACCACCTCCAAGATCCTAGCCACGAGAAGGTGGGGAAGGAGAAGCTGAGCTGGGCAGATTCATGGGTCCTAGTGGACCACAAGCTGACTGGCTTGTCCCTGCTGGCGAATCCCCATGGCACCAGAACTTGGGTTGGGCGTGCAAGAGGGCAGATTTGCTTAGGCCAGACAACACTCACGCCCTCACCCATCGAAAAGGACCTTGAAGAAAGGGGAGGCAAACTCTGTTGGCCCTGAAGGGCCTGGGATGACCTTTTGTGGTCGCTGTGTGAGGCAGTGGGGGGTCCAGGCTGGGCAGGGCTGGCCCTGCCTGCCGGAAGACATCGATCTGTCTGGGGAGAGGAGGGCTCGGGTCTGTCCTGTCCAGCCCCGGGCAGGTGGCCTGACTCAGCCCGCCCTTTTCAGTGGGTCTTGGCCTTTGAGATCTTCATTCCTCTGGTTCTCTTCTTCATCCTACTGGGGCTTCGGCAGAAGAAACCGACGATCTCTGTGAAAGAAGGTGAGTGTCCCTGGGGGGGTGGCGGGGGGGAGTGTGGGGGGCCCAGGGCACAGCTGGGCGGGCAGGGTGGGGCAGGCAGTTCTCACTGTGTCCCTCGTGGCGTCCTGGGTGCACGTGACCCCACGCGTGTCCCAGCTCCCGCGCTGTCCTGGTGCGGTCCGCGCACCTGCTCCCCTGCGCGGTCCCTGGCCGGCTGTTCCTCACTGTTCTCTGTTCTGTTTTGCCCCTCCCCCGCATGGTCTCTTGTCCTCCTCCTGGCCTGCATGCAGTCTGTAAGTGAGCGAGCGGCCCTCCTGGTGCGGCCTGAGCGCGCCCTGCCCCCCGCTTGCATTAACAGCCTTTCCTGGCCTCGCCGGGTCCTGCCAAGCCCCTTGCCCACGGTCGGGGGCAGCTGGCACATGGGGGTGGGGGGCGGGGGGTGCTGAAGGAGACCTGGACCACGGTGGCCCCCAGGTCAAGCTTCTGGGGGTGGGGGTGTCCATCTCTCTGTGGGGTCGCCTGGCCCCACCTTGAAGGGCTGGGGCTGGGTCACCTGGCTGCTCTCCCCTCAGACCCCCATGGGCTCCTGCGTTCTCCCTGCTAACCAACTGGCCAGGGAGGTCAGAGGTCACTGCCCAGTGGGGGCCCCATGTGCTCCCCTGGGCCCTGTGGGCAGTGCCACGCCTGAATTCTTAGGGAAGGTGTCAGGCATTTTGGCCTTGGGTGGCTGAGGGAAGAGGGACACCCTGGGAGTTACGGGGAAGGGATGGCCAGACACCCTTTGATCTCTGACCTGCTGGGGTCATCTGCACCAGAACTCTTGACCCTCTGCCCCCGTCTGCTGTCTGAAGCCGCTTTTCCTCCCGGACTTTCTCTAACTTTCTCTATTTGGCCTTCGTCCCCCTCCCCTTTCTTGACTCCTTCCCTGGCCCTCTCCTGTCTCCACCCCTCGCCCCTGGGCCCTCTCACCTGCCCCAACACCCCCCCCCCCCCCCCCGCAGCTTTCTACACAGCGGCGCCCCTCACCTCCGCGGGCCTCCTGCCTGTCATGCAGTCTCTGTGCCCAGACGGCCAGCGAGACGAGTTCGGGTTCCTGCAGTACGCCAACTCCACGTGAGTGCCCCCGCCCCCGCCCCCTGTAGTACACCAACTCCACGTGAGTGCCCCCGCCCCCGCCCCGCACAGAGGCCAGTGGGTGACCTCCGATGGCGGTACAGGGTCACTCAGCTGCTGGAGAGCCTCAACCGTGTGGTGGAGGAGGGCAACCTGTTTGACCCGGCGCGGCCCAGCTTGGGCTCGGAGCTCGAGGCCCTGCGCCAGCACCTGGAGGCCCTCCGCTCTGGCCCGGACCCCTGGGAGAGCCACCTGGACAGACCTACAGGTACGCCCGGGGCAGCTCAGGCTGTGCCTCTGCTGGGGGGCTCGGGGCCCAGGCCGCCGTGTCAGCTGCGTTCAAATCCCAGCTTGGTCTCTCCTGGCTGCGGGCCAGCGTTGGGGCGTCCGTCTGGGCCGTCGCTCTGGGTTCCTGGGGCACAGGAGCTCAGGCGGACCCCGCTGAGCTGCCCTCCCCATGGCCAAATCTGGTGCGGACACCTGGACTCTGCGTCTATGCCGGGTTCCTTTACCCCGGGCCCAGCTTTCCCTCAGCACCATCCTTCTGCCTGTCCAGTGTCGTCCTTCTCTCTGGGCTCGGTGGCCAGGGACCCACGGGAGCTCTGGCGTTTCCTGATGCAGAATCTGTCGCTCCCTAATAGCACAGCCCAGGCACTCCTGGCTGCCCGGGTGGACCTGCCGGAGGTGAGGAGGGGCGAGCGTCTGCAGGGAGCACGGGTCTTCTCTTGGGGCAGCTCCTAGCCCCGCGGTCCTCTCTGCCCTCCCCTGCTTATAGGAATGGAGAGCAAGGAGAGGGGATATGGGGCTCTGGGACCCCCTGGCCTGAGCCAAACCCCTCTCCCCTCCAGGTCTATCACCTGCTTTTTGGCCCTTCCCCTGCCCTGGATATGGGGTCAGGACTCCCCAGGGTTCGGGAGCCCTGGAGCCGCCTGGGTAGCAATCCCCTATTCCGGATGGAGGTAAGAGGACCTGTTAGTGGGATGGGAACACACCGCCAGCCTCTAGTTGGGGGTTTCCACCTGAGAGGGTGAAGAAAGGGGCCCCCTTGATAATTGTGAGCTTCTTTGGGGGATGAGGTCGTTCCCTGGGAGTCTGTGGCTAGCATGTGGGCAGAAAGCAGGAGAGTGATATGTGTCCACTCTCCCCACCCCCCACCCATCACAGGCACCTGGGCTATCTCAGATCTTGCGCGGGCCAGGGTGGCAGGGGGAGACCCGAGGCCGTCTTGGGGTAGGGCCTTGGTTCCCTCTTGGTTGAGGTTCCTTCCTGGCTGTCCCCTTGCACCCTGCCCCCAGGAGCTGCTGTTGGCCCCCGCCCTCCTGGAGCAACTGACGTGTGCACAGGGCTCCGGGGAGCTGGGCCGGGTCCTCACTGTGCCCCAGGGTCAGCAGACTGCGCTGCAGAGCTACCGGGACGCCGTCTGCAGTGGGCAGGCTGCTGCCCGTGCCCAGCGCTTTTCTAGGCTGGCTGCTGAGCTCCACAACCAGCTGGATGTGGCCAAGATTGCCCAGCAGGTGAGGGCCTGCCTGCCTGCTGGCCCCCAGGCCCATGGCCCTGGCTGGAGGAGTTGCTGGGGCTCCTTGGGCCCACGGCTGCCAGGGCATGTGCCTGTGGTTGGGTGTCCCATGCACCCCTAGTGAGCCATGCCCCATGTCCTCCCCCAGTCTGTTTCCCAGCCCCTAGCCAGTGCTCCCTGCACACACCACCACCACCCCCCCGCCCCAGGCAGACTCTCCCTCAGCCTCTCTCATCCCGGCCTGTGTCCGGTGTCCTCCACCTGACCTCAGTCTCCCACCTTCACATCAGCCCGTGCAGTGTTCCTTCCTGGGCCTGCATCTGCCCACCTTCCCCCTTTCCCATCAGCTGGGCCTGGATGCCTCCAACGCCTCGGCTCCCCAGCAGCAGCCAGCACCCCCGCAGCGGCTGCAGGTGCTGCTGGAGGACCTGCTGGACGCCCAGAAAGTTCTGCAGGATGTGGATGTCCTCTCGGCCCTGGCCCTGCTGCTGCCCCAGGGCGCCTGCGCCGGACGTGCCCCGGGGCCCCCAGCCAGCAGCCCTGGAAGGACAGTGAACGGCACCGGGGCAGCAGGGGGCACGAGCTCCAACTCCTCTGCGGAGGAGGGCGCCCGGGCCGCGGCAGCCCCGGCCTCCTCAGATGCGCTGCAGGGTCAGTGCTCCGCCTTCGTGCAGCTCTGGGCCGGCCTGCAGCCCATCCTGTGTGGCAACAACCGGTAGGTGGGCGGCGGGGAAAGCAGATGGAGTGGGGCCTACCTCCGAGGCCAGGCTCTGAGCCCGCACACCCGGCTCGCTCTCTGGATCCCGGCCCCACTCCCCGCCCCTCCCGATGCACCCCTCCCTCCCTGAGGTTCTGCCCCTCCCCCTCTGGAAGCCCCACCTCCAGCCCCCGGCCGCCCCGCCCCTCCCGCTCTGCCGACACCCGCCCCTGACGTCCCGCCCCCCGCGCTAGCACCATCGAGCCCGAGGCGCTGCGGCGGGGCAACATGAGCTCCCTGGGCTTCACGAGCAAGGAGCAGCGGAACTTGGGGCTCCTCGTGCACCTTATGACCAGCAATCCCAAGATCCTGTATGCACCAGCGGGCTCCGAGGCGGACCGCGTCATCCTCAAGGTTCGCGAGTCTGGCACGTTGGGGGCCTTCTGTTTCCTTCTGGGGGAGTAGCTGAAGGAGCTGGACAGGGGGCCTCAGGGACCCCTGTGCAGACTGGGGTCCGTAGAACTGTCCTGGGAGGGGCTCCAGAGCTTGAGCTCTGACTTGGCTGGGGGACAGGGACTGGAGGACTGATCGGGGGACAGCGCGTTCAAGATGCAGGGGTATGGTGGGGCTGCTGTGGGAGGGCCCTGAGCTGGCTAGTTAGGTGCAGGGTTCTGACCTGGCTGGGAATGGCCAGGGCGGGCAGTGCTGGTTTGGATAGAGGAGGGCCACTTGCAGAGACCTCCCAGGGCAGCCTCCGGTGGGCCAGATTTGGGTGGGGCAGCTGGGTGGTCTGCCAGGGCCCATTCCAGGGGAGAAGTCCAGTCAGAGAGAAGTAGAAACTTGGGCTGGAAATGACCCAGGAAGGGGGGAGCCTGTGGAGGGGCTTCTAGGACGAGTGTGGGGGCGAGGAGGGCGGGTGTCAGGGCTGTTCAAGGGACACGTGGAGAAGGGCCCAGCAGAGGAGCTGGGAAGACCCAGCGGGTGAACTGGGAAAGCTGGAAGCCAGGCTGCCCTGGGGGTGGGGCCTCGCCAGCACTCTGGGTGGTCTCAGGAAGGTGGGGAGGGGAGGGTTTCCAGCACCCAGGTGCAAGTCTGGCCAGAGCAGGAGTGGCTGTTGGCAAAGGACTGGCCTGGGGGGAGACAAAGGAGTGGAGGACCCCCTTGCTGGCTGGGCTTTTCCCGCGAGCCCCGTGACCCATTCCCTCACCCTCTGCAGGCCAACGAGACCTTTGCCTTTGTAGGCAACGTGACCCACTACGCCCAAGTGTGGCTCAACATCTCCGCGGAGATCCGCAGCTTCCTGGAGCAGGGCAGGCTGCAGAGGCACCTTCGCTGGCTGCAGGAGGTGCTGGGGGTGCTGGGCGGGGGCGGGGCCCCTCTGTGTCCCGGGCCACCCCCTGAGCCAGTCCTTCCCCACCCCAGTATGTGGCAGAGCTGCGGCTGCACCCCGAGGCCCTGAACCTGTCCCTGGAGGAGCTGCCGCCCGCCCTGCGTCAGGACAACTTCTCGCTGCCCAATGGCTCGGCCCTCCTGCAGCAGCTGGACACCATTGACAACGCGGCCTGTGGCTGGATCCAGTTCATGTCGAAGGTGGGGTGGGCGAGCCACGCGGGCTCCGCTGGGCTGGGGCCCAGGGCCAGCTCCAACACTGCCCCTGCCCCCAGGTGAGTGTGGACATCTTCAAGGGTTTTCCCGACGAAGAGAGCATCGTCAACTATACCCTCAACCAGGCCTACCAGGACAATGTCACCGTGTTCGCCAGTGAGCTGGTCCCCCTGAGCCCTGCTCTTCTGCCTCTCCCCGCTCCAGCCCCAACCCCCTGTCTCTCTCCCACTTTACCTGCCCCCTGTGCCCGGTTCCCTTCTCCAGTTTCACCCCACCTTGGCCCCACCTCCTCCCTGGCCCCGCCCCTCCCTCAAGCCAGTCCCGGCTCTGCTCTAGCCAGGACCCGCCCCTTTCTGTCCCCGCCCCCCAGCCAGCCGGGCTCTGTCCCTCCACCTGCTCCTCCTGTCCCCAGGCGTGATCTTCCAGACCCGCAAGGACGGCTCCCTGCCGCCCCACGTGCACTACAAGATCCGCCAAAACTCCAGCTTCACCGAGAAAACCAATGAGATCCGCCGGGCCTACTGGCGGCCAGGGCCCAACACCGGCGGCCGCTTCTACTTCCTGTACGGCTTCGTCTGGATCCAGGGTGAGGCCCGCTCCTGGGCCCAAGGTGACGGGGAGGGCCCAGCGGCTGCCCGCCCCACGGCTGACCCCTTCTGCCTGCAGACATGATGGAGCGCGCCATCATCAACACCTTCGTGGGACACGACGTGGTGGAACCCGGCAACTATGTGCAGATGTTTCCCTACCCCTGCTACACACGAGACGAGTGAGTGTGGGGGGAGGCTGCCCCCCCCCCCCACCGCTCAGGCTGAGCCCCTCCCCTCACGCCCCTGCCCCACCCCAGCTTCCTGTTTGTCATTGAGCATATGATGCCACTCTGCATGGTGATTTCCTGGGTCTACTCGGTGGCCATGACCATCCAGCACATTGTAGCAGAGAAGGAGCACCGGCTGAAGGAGGTGGGGGGCTGGGGGTGGGGGGACGGAGAGGCGGGGGTGGGGGCAGAGGTGGAGGGGGACGGAGGGGTAGGGATGGGGGCGGAGGTGGGGGGGGGACGGAGGGGTGGGGATGGGGGCAGAGGTGGGGGGACGGAGGGAGGGGTGGGGTTGGGGGCAGAGGTGGAGGGGGACGGAGGGAGGGGTGGGGGGAGGTGTGGGAGGATGGAGGGAGGGGTGGGGGTGGGGGCAGAGGTGGAGGGTGACGGAGTGGTAGAGGCAGCTTAGTCCTTCCTGGTGTCCCTTCCCGTGGGCCGAGGCCTCCTGCCCCAGCCGGCTGCCCACCCGCCGCAGGTGATGAAGACCATGGGACTGAACAACGCGGTGCACTGGGTGGCCTGGTTCATCACCGGCTTCGTACAGCTGTCCATCTCCGTGACGGCTCTCACGGCCATCCTCAAGTACGGCCAAGTGCTCATGCACAGCCACGTGTTCATCATCTGGCTCTTCCTGGCCGTCTATGCCGTGGCCACCATCATGTTCTGGTGAGCTCCGAGTGGCTGGCTGCAGGCCGGGAGGGAGCCGTGCTTGGGCGCTGGCAGAGTACCCCTTCACATCACCCAGGAGTCCAGACATACCCCTCTCGGAGCGGCTCTGTACCCTGGGGGGGCCTTCTGGGAGGGCTCGGGGCCCTGCGCTAAGGGTTGTGTGTGGCTGATGGCCCGTGGTCTGCCCTGCCCTAGCTTCCTGGTGTCCGTGCTGTACTCCAAGGCCAAGCTGGCCTCGGCCTGCGGTGGCATCATCTACTTCCTGAGCTACGTGCCCTACATGTATGTGGCAATCCGTGAGGAGGTGGCCCATGACAAGATTACTGCCTTTGAGAAGTGCATTGCGGTGAGGGTCACGGCTGGGCAGGGTGGGGGTGGGGTCTGGCCTCCTGCTCTCGCTGACAACCCCCTGCCCCATCCCCTCAGTCCCTGATGTCCACAACAGCCTTCGGCCTGGGCTCCAAGTACTTTGCGCTGTACGAGGTGGCCGGCGTGGGCATCCAGTGGCACACGTTCAGCCAGTCGCCCGTGGAAGGCGACGACTTCAACCTGCTCCTGGCTGTCACCATGCTGATGGTGGACGCCGCCGTCTATGGCGTGCTCACGTGGTACATTGAGGCTGTCCACCCAGGTACCCGCCAACTCTGTTGCCGGGAAGGAGAGCATGTGTGGCTCCCCGGGGGGGACAGTCACCCCAGGCCCCAGGTCAGCCCCTCTTCCACTCCCTGCCCCCCCAGGCATGTACGGGCTGCCCCGGCCCTGGTACTTCCCACTGCAGAAGTCCTACTGGCTGGGCAGCGGGCGCGCGGAGGCCTGGGAGTGGAGCTGGCCGTGGGCGCACGCCCCCCGGCTCAGTGTCATGGAGGAGGACCAGGCCTGTGCTATGGAGACCCGGCGCTTGGGTGAGGCGGGTGCCGGGGTGGTGGCTGAGGCGCTCTGGGGTTTTGGGGGCCCTGGGCAGCCTGAGCTGACCCCCTGCCTTGGTGCAGAGGAGATGCGGGGCATGGAGGAGGAGCCCACCCACCTGCCGCTGGTGGTCTGCGTGGACAAGCTCACCAAGGTCTACAAGAACGACAAGAAGCTGGCTCTTAACAGGCTGAGCTTGAACCTCTACGAGAACCAGGTGGTGTCCTTCCTGGGCCACAACGGGGCCGGCAAGACAACTACCATGTGAGCGTTGGGGCAGAGCCCTTACCAGGGCAGCCGGGTGGGCCCCCTGTGGGAGGTGGGGGTCCTGACCCTGCCTGCCCGCCCAGGTCCATCCTTACTGGCTTGTTCCCACCGACCTCGGGGTCGGCCACCATCTATGGGCACGACATCCGCACGGAGATGGACGAGATCCGCAAGAACCTGGGCATGTGTCCGCAGCACAACGTGCTCTTTGACCGGCTCACGGTGGAGGAGCACCTCTGGTTCTACTCGAGGCTCAAGAGCATGGCACAGGAGGAGATCCGCAAGGAGATGGACAAGTGGGTGGGGGCAGGGAGGGGCCCAGGCCTGCGGGGACCCCAGCATCCCGGCCCCTAGGGCCCAGGCCCACACGCCCACCCCCACCCTGTCCCGGCCTCAGGATGATCGAGGACCTGGAGTTGTCCAATAAGCGGCACTCGCTGGTGCAGACACTGTCGGGCGGCATGAAGCGCAAACTCTCCGTGGCCATTGCCTTCGTGGGTGGCTCGCGCGCCATCATCCTGGACGAGCCCACTGCAGGCGTGGACCCTTACGCACGCCGAGCCATCTGGGACCTCATCCTCAAGTACAAGCCGGGTGAGCAGGGCGCGGGGCAGCCGTGGGCGGCCCCCACCTGGCCCTGCCCACCCCGGCGCCCTGACCCTGACCCTGGGCTCCCACAGGCCGCACCATCCTGCTGTCCACCCACCATATGGATGAGGCCGACCTGCTCGGGGACCGCATCGCCATCATCTCCCACGGGAAGCTCAAGTGCTGTGGCTCCCCGCTCTTCCTCAAGGGTGCCTACGGGGACGGCTACCGCCTCACTCTGGTCAAGCGGCCTGCTGAGGCCGGGGACCCCCAAGGTCTGTGCAGATGCAGCCTGAGCCGGCTTGGGGCCCCGCCTACCCCAGGACCCCGCCTACCCCAGGACCCCTTCTCCCAGCCCCGTGAGCTTCAGGGCTGGGTCCCTGCTGTTGCCCCGGCGAGCCTAGCATGCCTGGTCGGGCCTGGGGCTCCTTCTTCTCACGTCCGCTCTTTTGTCCTGGCTGCGCCCCTGTAGAGAATCGTCTTCCTCCAGCCCCTGAGTGTGGCTCCTCTGTGTTCCTTCTCTTCTTAGAGCCAGGACTGCCAGCCAGCCCCCCCGGCCGCACCCAGCTGAGCAGCTGCTCGGAGCCCCAGGTCTCCCAGTTCATCCGCAAGCACGTGGCCTCCTGTCTCCTGGTCTCCGACACGAGCACAGAGCTCTCCTACATCCTGCCTAGCGAGGCCGCCAAGAAGGGGGCCTTCGAGCGTCTCTTCCAGGTATGTGCAGCGGGCTCAGGACCGGGGTCCCTTTCAGCTGTGGGGTACAGCGGGCTCAGGGGCAGGGCCCCTTCCAGCTGTGGGGTACAGCGGGCTCAGGACCGGGGTCCCTCTCAGCTGTGGGGTACAGCGGGCTCAGGGGCAGGGCCCCTTCCAGCTGTGGGGTACAGCGGGCTCAGGACCGGGGTCCCTCTCATCTGTGGGGTACAGCGGGCTCCGGGGCAGGGCCCCTTCCAGCTGTATGCGGCGGGCTCGGGGCCGGGGGTGTCCCCGCTGGGTCCCGGGCTGCGTCGGGTCACATGCAGCCCCTCGCAGCACCTGGAGCAGAGTCTGGATGCGCTGCACCTGAGCAGCTTTGGGCTGATGGACACCACGTTGGAGGAGGTGTTCCTCAAGGTGTCGGAGGAGGACCAGTCTCTGGAGAACAGCGAGGCCGGTGAGCAGTCCCAGAGCGGCCCTCAGTCCTGCACACGCACCCCCACCCCCGGGGCCCTGACCTTGGGCCGGGCGGGTCACTCTTCCCCTGGCTCTGGGGTCCGAGGGCCCTGGCTGGGAACAAGATGCCACCAGTCTCAGCCGGGCTGGCTGGGGCTGAGGAGCCCGGGCAGGGAGGCGGCCGTGGGACGGCGGGCTCCCCGGGGCAGGGGGGCGAGCACGGGGACTGAGCCCTGCTTCTCCCCGCCCTGGCCCCTCTGCGGCGGCAGACGTGAAGGAGTCCAGGAAAGACGCTCTCCCCGGGGCAGAGGGTCCGGCCTCGCTGGGGGAGGCGCGCGCTGGCGGCCTGGCCCGGTGCGCAGAGCTGGCGCAGTCCCAGGTTTCCCTGCAGTCCGCGTCCTCCGTGGGCTCTGCCCGCGGCGACGAGGGAGCCCCCTACGCGGACATCTGTGGCGACTACCGCCCGCTCCTTGGCAACCCACAGGACCCCGACAACGTCAGCCTGCAAGGTGGGGGGCGGCTGGGTGGGGGGGCGGGGTCCCTGGGCGGGGGCGCCCGCTCAGCCTCTGCTCCCCGTGCAGGCGCCGAGGCGGAAGCCCTCGCGCGGGCGGGCCGGGGCAGCCGCAAGCTGGAGGGCTGGTGGCTGAAGGTGCGCCAGTTCCACGGGCTGCTGGTCAAGCGCTTCCACTGCGCCCGCCGCAACTCCAAGGCGCTGTCCTCCCAGATCCTGCTCCCCGCCTTCTTCGTCTGCGTGGCCATGACCGTGGCCCTCTCCGTCCCTGAGATCGGTAGGCTGCCGGGCGTCCCTCTGGTGAGACTGATTCTTCCCCGCTCCGGACCACCCGTGCTGGAGCTGGGCCCTACATCGAGCCCGCAGGCACTCTGTGGGCTTTGTCTGGGACTTACGCCTCCTCGGGACCCAGACCCCAAGCCTGGACACTGAGCTTTGGGAAGGAGAAACCTAGGCCCAGGGGCCGCTGGTAGGCAGTCGGAGCGCGCTCAGGCTTGCCCGTGCACCCCTCCAGGTGACCTGCCCCCACTGGTCCTGTCACCCTCCCAGTACCACAACTATACCCAGCCCCGCGGCAACTTCATCCCCTACGCCAACGAGGAGCGCCCGGAGGACCGGTGAGGCCACCCACCGGGCAGCTGTGGTGGGCAAGGGCTGGCTGAGGGCGGAGATGGGCGGGCCTCTCCCCACCCAGACTCACACCGCGGGTTCCCCCAGATTGCGACTGTCGCCGGACGCCAGCCCCCAGCAGCTCGTGAGCACGTTCCGGCTGCCGTCGGGTGTGGGCGCCACCTGTGTGCTCAAGTCTCCCGCCAACGGCTCCCTGGGGCCCGTGCTGAACCTGAGCAGCGGCGAGTCCCGCCTGCTGGCCGCGGCGTTCTTTGACAGCATGTGCCTGGAGTCCTTCTCACAGGGGCTGCCGCTGTCCAACTTCGTGCCTCCCCCGCCCTCCCCCGCTCCGTCTGACTCCCCTGTGTCCCCAGAGGAGGACCCGCTGCAGGCCTGGAATGCTTCGCTGCCCCCCACCTCTGGGCCAGGTATGGGTCCTCCCAGGCTGCCGGGGGCTGGGGGGCGGGGCACGGCACAGGCTTGAGCTGACGCTGCCCATTGCACCCACAGACAACTGGACGTCGGCGCCCTCCTTGCCACGCCTGGTGCGGGAGCCCATCCGCTGCACCTGTTCTGCACAGGGCACTGGCTTCTCCTGCCCGGGTGGTGTGGGTGGACATCCACCCCAGATGCGGGTGGTCACCGGAGACATCCTGACCGACGTCACCGGCCACAATGTCTCCGAGTACCTGCTCTTCACCTCCGACCGCTTTCGGCTACACCGGTGAGCGGGGTGGGGGCCGCCAGCCGGTTGTGGGCGAGGGGGCGGCCCACCCACTGCGTGTCGCGCCTCACTGCCCCTCACCTGCCGGCCCAGGTATGGGGCCATCACCTTTGGCAACGTCCAGAAGTCCATCCCGGCGTCGTTCGGTGCCCGGGCCCCAGTCATGGTGCGGAAGATCGCCGTGCGCCGGGCAGCCCAGGTGAGCAGCGCGGCCCTGGGCCCTGCGGCGCCCGGCTCCAGCGCGAGGTGGGCAGGAGCCCACAGCGCTCTTAGGGCACTTCTGGGTCCCTCCAGGTTTTCTACAACAACAAGGGCTACCACAGCATGCCCACCTACCTCAACAGCCTCAACAATGCTATCCTGCGGGCCAACCTGCCCAAGAGCAAGGGGAACCCCGCGGCCTATGGTGAGCCTGCGGGGCGGGCAGGCCAGGGCGGGGTGGGCTGGAGCAGGGCGGAGCAGGGGCGGCTGGGGGTTGGGCAGGGCGGTGTGGAGCAGGTCCCTGAGGCTGCCTCCCCTTGTGCCGTAGGCATCACTGTCACCAACCACCCCATGAACAAGACGAGTGCCAGCCTCTCCCTGGATTACCTGTGTGTACGGGTCAGGGGGCGGGGGTGCAGCTGCGGGACAGGGTGCCAGGCAGGGGCTGATGGCCGCCTTGCCCCCAGGCTGCAGGGCACGGACGTGGTCATTGCCATCTTCATCATCGTGGCCATGTCCTTCGTCCCAGCCAGCTTTGTGGTCTTCCTGGTGGCGGAGAAGTCCACCAAGGCAAAGCACCTGCAGTTTGTCAGCGGCTGTAACCCCGTCATCTACTGGCTCGCCAACTACGTGTGGGACATGGTGTGCCCCTCCCCGCGTGGCCAAGGGGGTTCCCGTCACCCCTAGGCCCCTGCTATCCCATGACCCTGTCTCCTGCCAGGCCTACCACTTCTGGCCCCAGACCCCCAGCCCTGCCCTGGAGCCCCCCCCCCCCCCCCCGGAGCCCTCACCTGCCACCCTTGCTCTGGTAGCTTAACTACCTGGTCCCAGCCACCTGCTGCGTCATCATCCTGTTCGTGTTTGACTTGCCAGCGTACACGTCACCCACCAACTTCCCTGCCGTGCTCTCTCTCTTCCTGCTCTATGGGTAAGGGGGAGCAGGCGGGGTCGTGGGACTGGGGGTGGGGGCGGACCATCTGGTTTGACCCCCTGCACCCGCCCACCCACAGGTGGTCTATCACCCCCATCATGTACCCGGCCTCCTTCTGGTTCGAGGTACCCAGCTCAGCCTACGTGTTTCTCATTGTCATCAATCTCTTCATTGGCATCACGGCCACCGTGGCCACCTTCCTGCTGCAGCTCTTTGAGCATGACAAGGTGGGGCAGCGGAGGGGGCACAGCCGAGCGGGGGGCACAGGGGGTGGTGGGACGGAGGGCACAGCAGGCGTGGGGCGGGGAGAGGGTCACAGCGGGCGGCGGGGCACAGTGGGCGGCACTGTGACCCCCTGTAACTCTCCAGGACTTGAAGGTGGTCAACAGTTACCTGAAAAGCTGCTTCCTCATCTTTCCCAACTACAACCTGGGCCACGGGCTCATGGAGATGGCCTACAACGAGTACATCAACGAGTACTATGCCAAGATTGGTGAGCAGGGTGGGCGGGCTGCCGGCCGGGTCATGCCTGGCCCAGAGATGGGGACTTGCAGGCGTGGGTGGAGCCCCCAGGCACATGCCCTGAGCCAGCTGCCCCACAGGCCAGTTTGACAAGATGAAGTCCCCGTTCGAGTGGGACATTGTCACCAGGGGGCTGGTGGCCATGACAGTTGAAGGCTTTGTCGGCTTCTTCCTCACCATCATGTGCCAGTACAACTTCCTGCGGCAGCCACAGTGAGTCGGGGAGTGCCGGGAGATGGGGCCACAGCGAGTTGGGGAGCACTGGGCGATGGCACTGCCCACGCTGTCTCCGCAGGCGTATGCCGGTGTCCACCAAACCTGTGGAGGACGATGTGGACGTGGCCAGCGAGCGGCAGCGCGTGCTGCGGGGGGATGCTGACAATGACATGGTCAAGATCGAGAACCTGACCAAGGTGGGCCCTGGGGCTCGTTAGAGGGGCTGGGGTGGGTAAGCCCCAGTGGGGGCGGGGCCCAGTTGGAAGCATGTTTCCTGGTGGAGACGGCCGGGTGGGGGTGGAGCCTCGGTGGGGGCGTGTTTCCGGGCAGGGGCAGGGCCCAGGTGGGGGTGCGGCTCGGCCGGCTAGCCAGGTCGATCGCTCCCGGCGCCAGGTGTACAAGTCGCGGAAGACCGGCCGCATCCTGGCCGTGGATCGCCTGTGCCTGGGCGTGCGTCCTGGCGAGTGCTTTGGCCTCCTAGGCGTGAACGGCGCCGGCAAGACCAGCACCTTCAAGATGCTGACCGGTGACGAGAGCACAACGGGGGGCGAGGCCTTTGTCAACGGGCACAGGTGCAGGCGGGCGCGCGCCTGGGCGGGTGGGGTGGCTGCGGCCGCCGGCGCTGATGGCTCGGTGTCCCCAGCGTGCTCAAGGAGCTGCTCCAGGTGCAGCAGAGTCTGGGGTACTGCCCGCAGTTCGACGCCCTGTTCGACGAGCTCACCGCCCGGGAACACCTGCAGCTGTACACGCGGCTCCGCGGCATCCCCTGGAAGGACGAGGCGCGGGTGAGGGGCGCGCGTGCAGGGGAGGGGCCGACGGGAGGGGCGGGCCCTGATGTGAGTTCTCGCCCCCAGGTGGTGAAGTGGGCCCTGGAGAAGCTGGAGCTGAGCAAGTACGCGGACAAGCCCGCGGGCACCTACAGCGGCGGCAACAAGCGCAAGCTGTCCACGGCCATCGCCCTCATCGGGTACCCCGCCTTCATCTTCCTGGTGAGCCGGAGCGGGGGTCGGCACGCCCCTAGCCCTCTGGTGAGCCGGTGGGGGTGGGGGGCAGCGCGCGCAGCCGGCTGCAGCGGCTGAGCCTGGCGGCCCCCCAGGACGAGCCCACCACAGGCATGGACCCCAAGGCCCGGCGTTTCCTCTGGAACCTCATTCTGGACCTCATCAAGACGGGGCGCTCGGTGGTGCTCACGTCGCACAGGTGGGTCCCCGCCCACGCCCTCCCCCCCCCACACTGCCCCGCCCCGTGTGCCGCGCCGCCCCGCCAGCCTGTGCCTCTGCCCGCAGCATGGAGGAGTGCGAGGCGCTGTGCACGCGTCTGGCCATCATGGTGAACGGGCGCCTGCGCTGTCTGGGCAGCATCCAGCACCTGAAGAACAGGTGAGCCGAGCCCGCGGCGCTGGCGGGGGTGGCGGGACGTGGAGTGTGTGACGGGGCGGCGGGGGGCCCGGCTGCGTGGGGCCGGGCGCTCGGGGCCACAGGCCTGTCCCGCAGGTTTGGAGACGGCTACATGATCACCGTAAGGACCAAGAGCAGCCAGAACGTGAAGGACGTGGTGCGGTTCTTCAACCGGAACTTTCCGGAGGCGGTGCTCAAGGTGGGCGGGGCCCCAGGGGTGGGGCTCGGGGGCCTGCTGAGCGGCCTCTGACCCTGCGTCCCCCC